GATGCCTTCCACCCTTACGGGCTCTTGTACTATGCACGTCCAACGTACCCTTCCCACTGCAAGCACGCATTCCCATGGCGAATGTGTGATGGACGCGTGCGACGGACGCGACCTCCGCTTCGTTGCGGTGCCCAGCGGACCGCTACCGGCCTTCAGCCGGAAACTACACTGCGGTGCAACCAAGGGATATTAAATCCCTTGGGTGCAACCTCCGCTGCGTTGCGGTGCACCTGGTGGATTCTTTGTAGGGATCCAGTGTTGTCAACGTCAAAATCATTTTCCATTGTGCGGTGGGGGTGGGGGGCATCGTCCCGATCTCGCTTAGATGTGGGTTGTTATTGTTAGAGCCGTCCGGGAAGTGGGTGTTTCGCGCCTGCAAGGAGTCGAAACGGACTTTTCAAGAGAAGGCGGCTCGGCGAAACCAACGACTGGTCGGCAGAGCCTAGCTTTCTAGTTTTCGCTCTCCGCTAAGCAACCCGCCACGCCTCACCCGAGGTGCAGCGGTAATGCAGGCCTCGCGCCCTTTTTCTCCCTGAGCGAAAAGCCACGTGAAAAGCTCTTTCTTAGCCGCTTCAACCTTCGCATCATTTCAGCGCGTCCAATACTACACATTGCAGGACGCTCCACGCATAGAGGCCACAACAGCTTGATCAACATTGCAGGATGTATAACGTTCATGAGGTGGTTTAAAGGATCGCTTCTCGGATTTGCAGGCCCAGCGATTCTACAGTAACAGGCGCGGCCGCTGCACGCGCGCGCTTCGCCTGGAGATGCAGTGGCCGATGCCTTGGTTTGCTGCCGTCGCCTCTGTCTCGCGGCGATCTTCCGCTTGAGATCCTTGGCCTCCTCGATCAGAGTCGATGTCGCCAGGGCGCGAGCAGCTTGGCGCTTCCGCTGCTCGCGCTCGGCCGCAGAGTCTGGCGTCCGCACCAAATTGGATCTTCTACACTGTGCTTTGTGCGCGGATTGCAATAGAAACCTGCAAAGGAACGTAAAATCCAGATACGATTCTAACATCACGATCTAACTTTGATCTAACACCACGCCCTCCTACCCTCCCGCGTAGTATTGCGGTCCCGCTCTATCGCGCAGGCCCCAACGATACCAGATGCACTCACTGCGCTCGTACATTACACTATCGCGCACAATATCCTACCACGCTGCCGTGCACTATCGCAAGTGCACACACTACGATCAGGATTGGCGCAACGCGAATGATGCCACATGCACTCGCAACGCTCGCGCATAGCATAGTGCGCTATCGCACGGACCGCGGCTATAGTCGAGTGCACTCGCTGCGCTCGTGGTTTGAGCAAGGCCAGCACGAGGAGGACGAGGAGCGCCAGCGCGCGCATCGGGTCCTGCTCGTCCAGGTGCTCACGGTGTGGCACACGTCGCTAGCGAGAGCGAGCCAGCATAGCTCACTTTTTCAAATTTCGTGTATCAATAATCCATGTATCAATCTCTGAATGCAATAAGTCGAGATGCAATAGTTAAAGAGTTACCGAAAAGC